TTGTTGTATATATATTCAAATACAAACGAATAGCAACTTTAGCTAATGGAATTCCAACTATAGCTGGTTGATTATTTGATTCAGGAAGTATTGATGAATAATATGTATCATCAACATTTCTCGAAGGATTATATAATCTTAAACCATATCGTTGTACATTGGATTGTGATCCAAGTGTAAGTGTATGAACATAGATATTAACTCTTAGGTTGATAACTATCGTATGATAGGGATAATGAAATGATGGAAATGAATAACCCTATAATAAAAAAAAAAAGGAAAAGATTGTTTGATTAATGAAAGATTATAGGGAATATTTACTGATGATTGTGATTGTGAGTTAATAATGTCAGAGATAGTTGTTTGTTGTGAAGCGTCCAAATGAAATATATTTTGAACATTGATATTTCCAACGATTTGAAGATTATTATAACAAAAATAGTTTGCTGGAACTTGTGATGGCGTTATTGACGGCAAATCATTGAATACAAGTGATTGTGACTAGAAACATAATGACAGTTTTTTACAACATACTTCTGATAAACTCGATATCAAGGATTAACGAATTTTGACACACAATAGAAAAGTTAGTGATCATTTCTGTTTTTCTTCTAAAATTATAGACAAGCAATGTTGATAATTGTTCAACATCAATATGTTTCCACATTATCATTCAAATCTCGAGAAAATGAAAATTAGTGTTTATACAAAATGTGATTCATCCGTTTATTGCTACTTGAAAGCAGATGTTTTGCTTTCAATTGCTCATAAGTAAATATAAATATAACGTACTGGGATAGTATCACTTGAAGATGGTCTATTTGAAACACCATTAGATATCTATAAATATCAAAATATATTACAACGTTAATCGATTGGATGATATATCATATAAAATAATGATAAGTATCTTACACTCAGATCAACTTTAGCAACAAGAGCTGAAGATCTTACTTGCAAGTCGTTTATTTCATCTTGATTAGTCATCTAGAGCAAAGAAAATATTTATAATAGCCTTTTTTATGCGACCCTTACGATTGACGATCTATCAACATTATCTACCACTTGCACCACTGGTACTTGAGAAATGATTTGTAATGAAGATGAACTTTCATCGGCTTCCTATAGAAATTCGAGGATAGTAAATCAAGCAGAAATTAAAAGATAGCATACACGAGTGTCTGATGGTACATATCCAGAATCACTGCTGCTAACCTGTAAAAGACATATTAAAAAGTTTTACGATGATTCTTACTTAATTTATATATTTGTAACGTACGCTAGCATCTACTTTTGCAACAAGAGAATCGAATGATGTACGTGCGTCAGCTGATTCCTGAGCTTCATAATTCTAAGAAAAACAATACTTTCTAAAGATTGATTTTGTATTGAACTTACAATAGACGGAATGTGTCCTCCATCAACAGCTCCCGTTTGAATAAGAGGAACAACATTATCCATTATCATCGAACCATCATTATTATTCTGAATAAAGTAAAATACCTCCCTTTTAACAAAAAAAGAATGTAAGCATAATATCTTACAGCTACTGCTTGTCCAACATTGGTATCACTACCAACATTAATCTATGAATGAAAATTTTAGTTTATGATCCAGTTTTTTTTTTCTAATAATATATCTTTAACTTACACTCACATCGACAGTACCTAATTGATTTTGTGATGGTGCCAAAGTATCTGTTGATATACTTGGATTAATGATCTATGAAAAGCAATAGTTTTTTTTTTTTCAAAACTGTCAAAGTTTCTTTTATCTTACTGTATTAGAAATCAATGAAGATATTGAACCACCATTTTCAGAAACACCAGCATTAATCTAATATACGACAATTTCTTTTTTTTTCAATTCAATCAAATAACATATTATCTTACATCATCATCAATTGTCCCAGTCCATAAATCAACTGAACTATCAGAATCAACAATCTAACATAATAAATTTTCTCCCAATTATTTCAACCAATGTTATTCAAAAATATGATTACTTACAATTGGATGTTTATGTTTAGGAGCTATACAATAACCCTACAATAAAACTTAAATAATTATAAATAAATATTAATGATAAACTACATACAATATCTAATGTAACATCACTAGGTGGTAGACCATCATCAGTTGCATTAAGATATACTTCAAAAAATCTTGTTGGTTCTTTAGCTAAAAAATTTTCAACAACAGGACTTTGTTCAACTTTTGAGTGATAAGCATTATATCTTCGTCCGGAATCATAATGAACAACAACATATAATAAAATAACATTACTTGCTGGAACCGAAACATATTGTAAGAATACATAAGGTATCATTCGTATTTGTAATATATATGTATCCATTTTTGGAAAATCAATACCATCACTATCAGGATCAGCATTTCGATTAATACGTTGATCAATTATAAAATGAGATGCATTAGCTACTCGAATCCATTCAATATTTGGATGACCATAAAGTGGACCACCTGCCGTACAATTTACTGCTAATGAATCATCATATTCACCTATCGGTTGATTACGATCATCCTCTTTAACAGGACAAAAAATTTAAAAAAAAAAAACACAAGAAATCGTAAACTTTTTCAAACCTGGTATTATGTCCTAAAAAATGCAAAAATATATATGTTAAATTCGAAAAACTGTTGGCATAATCACTCAGTGGGATCAAAATGTGAAACATGATTTAGCTGTTTGTTACTAGAAACGAATTTTAAGAATTATCATGAGACTGATCGATGCTTAAATGAATATGAGCTTACGGCTTACTCACGAAGGAATGTTTTCAACTAATATCAATCATTTTCTGTATGAAAGCTAGGAGAAATCCACTTAAATCTTCATTACACTCATGTTCCAGAATAATAAACATTTTCCAAAAATCGATTTTGATCGACTCAGATTATGGAACATGCCAAAATGTCTATAAGTCAATAATCTTTTCTGTTTTTTCGATTTGGTGTAGCTTGACAGTGCAAAAACACTTTTAGACGAAAAGTTTACAAGTCTAGAAAACCAATATATAAAGGTCTAAAGAGGTTTTTCATGATCATATTCAGAATCAGTATGATCAACAACATACAATCACCAATGTAGCTTCCGGGAAGAAAATATTCCCTCATCAACTAGAATTATGACCGCTTTATTGGAGTTTTCGACCTTAAGAATAGTTGTTGATAAAAACATGAATTATGATATTTTCACAATTGTAAATCTGACTGAGTAAAGCATAAGTTCGATTGATATTTAATACTTGAAAATGTTTCCTTATGATTTTTTTATCTTTGCTTCTTTATACTCGATTAAATATTCCAACTTCGGTACAATAGTATTTTGTAATACTTCAATTTCTGAATATTCAATTGATAGTATTCAGAATTTTTATTTAACTTACAGATGCAAAATCGACAGGTACAGCAGTTTCATCGGGCTGAAAAAATAAATATCTATTTTGAAAAGTAAAAAAAAAAAATATTTTTCTACCTCATCATCTTTAGCTGGATCATCTTGATTTGAATTTCCTGAAAATAAACAAAATAAACTACGGCGGAACTGTAGTTAGTAAATAATCATGTTATTTTATATATTTACCATTAGTTGAATTTGTTGTTTCCATTATACAATCAGGATCATCAAGCTCACTTTCAATAGCATCATCATTTTCAATCATCACAGAACGAATATTTCTTGAAAAGAAATTTTCTTTTGTTGTATTTTCATTATTCTATAAGACAAAAAGAAAACTTCATGTATATATAAATAAATAAATACTAGAAAAGTAAATTTTTAATTTTTACGAAAATAAAAATTGATGTTTTGGATTTTTTTTCAATATAATATTGAGGTAAATAAGTAAAATTTGCTGTTGCTAATGAAATAAGTTGTCCTATATCATATGAATTAATTATCATGGTTATAGATGGTTGTTGAATAGCATCAACTACTGGTAGTACACAAGTATGAAATCGCGGAAATTGATTGAAATTTTCAAATGAAAATGCCGGTGGTTGACACCAAGATTTAATCAACATTATATCAGATTGTATTTGTAATGATAATTCAACAAGACATAATCTATATCGATTATTACTACAATTAATCGGTGCATGTATATTATAATGTAATTCAGCTGTTATTGTAAAATTTCTATTGATTATTTGTTTATCATTATAATTAAGTGTTAATTCAAAAGGTGATTTTTCCATAAAAATAAATTTCACCAAAGAAAATAGAAAGATAAATGTTAAATAAAAAGAAATCATTATTGAAGAATAAATTTTTATGTACAATAGTAGAATTTATTGATCTTTAACATATTATTTTATTGTAACTTATAGAATAATACATGTTGCGATTGAATAAGACTAAAGTAGGCAAAATACTTTCGTGTTTTTTTAGTCCTGTATTTCATTGAAAGAAAATATTTGGTTATGTTTTTTTTATTTGAATCAATTCCATATGATTGTTATTTAGTTCGCTTTTTTCGAATAGATCGTTTTTCTTGACACTCATTCTTTATAAATTAATTAAAACATATGTATTAAATTCTTTTCTTTTTTCGTATATTAATTTAATACATACTTTTTGATAAACTATTTACTAAGAATGTTATTCTGGATTTTAGTATTGTTTTTTTTTGAATAAAAACTGATTAGACTTTTTTTTTATTTTAAAATTTATTAAATAGGAAATTAGTATTTTCTTGGTAAATAGAATTGATTACATGCTCAAAGAAAAAGCGAGAAAATGTTATACATGAAAAAAGATAATATTCAGAATTTCTTCGTAGTCATTATACGGTTCAACAAGATCAAGATTAAGTTTTTAGGTCTATTACAATGTTCTCAACTATCGTTTTTTCTATGCTATTAAATCTCCTAATAAATTGATGTTTAAATTAAATATGACAAAAACTTTCAATTGATCAATGGCTGACTTGAACCAAACAAAAAACAAATAGAAATTTTCAATATGATTTCTAATGAATTTCAATAAAAGTTATGCAAATATTTATTGATGATAGACTGCTTAAAAGAAATTAACGATTAACTGTCATTATATTAGATGACAAAAAAGGATTCGTTAATTTAAAATACTACCACGCTTTTAAATAAAACTATCATGGATTACAGATCATATAGAGAATTGAATTTTTATAATCGAACTATTCCATTTGACATCACGACATAGTCTTTATCAATAGAAACTTTTTTTTATCTGTATAAAATATAATATTAAATAAAAGAGATTAAAAAAAATAGAGAAGAAATGAAATAAAAGAATATAAAACAGAAATTTATAGAATTATAGAAGAAAAAGAAGATGAAAAATTAAATTATTATAGTAAAGCAGTTTTAGCTTTTGGCAATCTACCACTTTTGTGGTACTCACACATGTATTTTCGAAGAAAATATAGTGAGTGAAAGTTTAAATCAAGGTTTTTCCGGTTCATCTGCCCATAAGTCGTAGCAACCGGAGGGAGGGGAGGCCAATGATCATTGGATAGGTTTTCCTAGCAACGGAAAAATGTGCATCAACAACAACAGTGCTTAGATCATTCTTGAACTCTCTAGAATCTCCCAAAGCATTCTATGAATCTAAAAATTTCTTCTATAGATTCTAACTAATCCAAGGTGTAGGTGAGGATATATCTCTTCTTGACACAAATCACACTCACACCCCATTTAGGAGCACTTTTCGTTGAAAATGAGAACTAAATGCGTCGAAACACATTTTAAAATACATATTAAACTGCAATTTTTTTCAATTTTTTTAAAGAAAATGCATCTAGACTCATTTTTGTGTACTCAAAAAGTGAGTACACTCTAGAATCGGTCAGTGTGTCCGGCCCGTCCGTTTACATGATAACTTTTGAAAGAATAGTCTGATTGTCATGAACTTTTCTACACAGTTCAGTCTTAACAATATCTCGGTCGAGTTCGAAGATGAGCATGATTGGCCGAACCGTTCCTGAGTTATTGCAAAAATAGTCATTTTTCCCTATGACTTCGTATAGGAAAATCGACCTATTCTCACTTTCGTAAAAAACTTTTACTATCATATTCAAATAAAACTCCAACTATTATATACCATTCGATAGAGCATTTCACGAGCTACAAAATGGTATATGAAACATAAAGAAACACGAAGGCTAACTCACCTATTGCCAAGATAATCAGACGGAAATAGGTTCTATTTTCGTCCACGCTCTAGTTGATCCAAAAATGGAGCTCTACCTTCCGATCATGGACATGATACTTCGAGGTTTTTTGGGGCGGAGAACTCGAATCTGTCATCCACTTGTCTTGAAATGCCATTGGTTGAGCAGGAACCAATAGAAATCAAGTTATAGGAAAAACGACTTTCTGAGGGTAAATTAAGGCGAAGAGTTCAAATCTGAGCTGTATTCGCCCCCAAACTCTATTGGTTGAGCAGTAGTCAATAGAATTCAAGTGTTTATAGAAAAGGTTTCCCAAACTAATTTGTATATCCACGCATTCTAGGATGACTGATTTGTCTCATTCACTTTTTGAAGTACACATAACTCTCGGACTTAAGTCCGAGGTTTCCACATTTATTTCTAATGGAAACGTATTTAAAAGTACGCTTTTAGACGCAATAGATTTACATGAGCTAATCGTTGAATTTACGATAAGTCTACTATCAAGCTCTTTAGAATGTCTTCAGTCATCTGTTCGGTAAATTGTTTTTCGTTATGAAGATTAGTTTTAAATTTCAATGAACCGGTCGGATAAAATCTGTACATGTAGTGCATACACGTTCAAATTTCCTAGTTTTTGCCTTCTTTTCTATTTCTGTTTCATAATCGAGTACTTGTTATTATCACTACTATATTACAAAATTCATCTGTTGACTCATACTATTGACTCATTTTTATATTGGAGAAGTTGTACTTGATGTATGCGTCGGTTAAAGTTCGAAATGATAAAAAAGGAGTAAAAGATATTTAGTTTGCAATACCACTTTATGAAAAGAAAATACGAAAAATATCAATCTGGCTTTTTCAAAGTATGTTCTCTTTTTTCTTATCTTGTTCAAACACAATAAAACATTCAGCATGTAGACGATGTAAAGTCACTATTTAATTCGTTATTTTTTCAGTGATATACATTGAGAGAAAATAATTAACTTTCATTACTAATCAGTGCACAGCATTCGTAAGTTTACTTGTGTCAGTCCGTCTTGGATAAGAGACTCATAATCTTAAATCTAATACAACTTTTAGTTTGCACTACGAATACGCTATTACTGGCGAATTTCACTCAGAATAAAAAGAAAGAAAATTATGTCTCTCTTTGGATAATATCTTTTGCAAAAAAAGAATTTACGAAGATTACTGAAACAAAAGCAGTATAGATATTCGTTATGTTTGAAAGAATTTTTCATTTCTTTTACTGGAGGTCAGAAATCGAGATCTAGTACTACTCTTTCGTTTAATTACTAACTATAACTATTCAGCTAATGCAAAAGATGAGAATTATATATGCAATAGTACAATGTGACATGTTAGCTTGTGTGTTTTAGAGACAGTAAAATGGCATCATCATCGTTGGAAAAAACTAAAGACGACACTGATAAAGAACAATTAATTTCAAACCAAATTATCGAATCAATGAAGAAGGAAGATATTGAAGGACAGCGAAAAGAATTTCAGGATTATGTTGCTGTCCATGGCGTATCAGGTTACAAACAGTTTCTAGATGATCATTTGAACCAATGGATGAAACAACCACTACGAATTGTTGTTACTGGTTCATCCGGACAAGGTAAGTAACAGACAACATCAGAACATCGTAATGAAGAGGGATATGCAGGTAGAGCCATAGATAATTAGTCTTTTTTCACTGCCATGCAGATAAACGACTGTATCATCATGGTATCGGTGCTACGAACTTGGCCTCTCCCTTTATTTATATTGAACCTAAACCATTTTCTTTCTTTCTGTTTTGATACTATCCATAGTTGTACTCACTATTTTCCTTTATTATACACTCTGAATCATTTGCAAATTACTTTCTCAAAGATTCTCTAGAAAACTGTATGTGGAAAGTTTTCTTTGCTCATATGACTTATCAGAAAAATTCATTAAAAGTTGCAAATTTTGGCATTTGTTTTTTAACTCGTTTCTTTTACTTAGAATAAGGAATCCAACACAAGATCAGCGTTTCTATTTATTTCGTTAATACCATGGTGTGTTTTATTGTTATTATTAACACAAAAGATTGTTAATAATAATAATAAAAAATCTTATAATATTAATCGAAACGATAAAAAAGACAAATACGCCAAAAAGTTCGAACGTAGATTTTGCGTTTAATATCCTTGTTTTTGAATTCAGCTTATCGAAGTGAAAAGCAAATTATCAAATTTCGAAACTTCTAATGAATCTTTCCGATAGGAAACTGATGAAAGTCACATATCTCAATTTCTCATCTGTTAACAGTTATTGAAGAAGTAACGAAGCCCTCTATCTACTAAAATGAATAATAATCATAAATGTTCGTTCTAATTACATTTTTTAAGGGAAATCCAGTTTGATTAACACATTACGTGGTTTAAAGTCAAAATCACCTGGTGCTGCTAAAGTCGGCGTGGTTGAATGTACAAATACTGTAACGGAATATGCTGATCCAAAACATCGGAATTTGATTTATTACGATCTACCAGGTGTTGGAACGTCATCTTATCCACGCGATCGATATTTCGAAATTATTAAGAGCCAAACAAAAGATTATGTTGAAATTCGTGATTTTGATTTCTTTTTGATTGTTTCAGCTGGACGCTTCACACAAGATGACGTTTGGCTGGCCGAACAAATACAAAAGTTTGGCAAACAATTCTATTTTTTACGTACCAAAATCGATTTTGATCTTCGAAATGACTTCGACGAAGATCCTGATGATCATGATGAATTAGCAGTGTTAAAATTAATTCGTGATAATTGTTTCAAAGAATTAAATCGCATCAATAGCAACGTATCGTATAATGATAAAGTTTTTTTTAATCAGTACAAAATTTACTGTTAGTGAAAAATGGGATTTCCCATGGATGGTTAAGTCATTGCTACGTGACTATCCCGAATTGAAACGTAATGCCATCGTTATGTCGATTACAGTCAATTGTAAAGAGGTTATACGTGAAAAAGCTAAAATACTACGTCAACAAGCATGGATAGCAGCGTTAGGAAGTGGTGTAATCGGAGCAATACCCGTACCAGGTATATCTGCTGTTGCGGGAGTAGCAATTATGGCAGAGATGTTGGACCATTACAAACAATGTCTAGGACTAGACACAGAATCGCTGGATACATTGGCTAATGCACATAACACAACACGTGAACAATTACTAAAGCAGTTATACGTCACCGGGTGGGCTAAATATTTTATTATTGGCCATACGGCTGTTTTTTTTTGTAGCTGAAGGTGGTGAAGAAGCAGCTAAAGTTATAGCAAAGGAAGCAGCAAAACTCGTTCCTGGTATTGGTATCCTTGTAGGTGGATGTTTTGGTTTTGCAACTGCAGCTTACCAATTGCATAGTTTGATAAATAATTTGGAAGAGGCAGCATTGTTTGTATTAGATTATGCAACAAGTCAATCGAAGCAACATTGAAACTCGTGATTTCCTTCTATATACAGTATGTTTCACTTATTGTTTCAAATTTTCTTCAGTTTTTTGTTTTTATATAGTTGGGTACAGCATGTCTTCTCATTTGTGAACATAAACTCGAAATAAACAACTGTTAAACTCGATTTCGTTTGCTTTTTTTTTTTCAATTTGAATTACTCACAATAGAGCATAATCTTAAGTCTCAAGTTTATGTAGTTTAAATTCCTAAAAATTAACTTATATTAATTTTAAAGAAACTTCTGGTATCGAGTAAATTATTTTTTTAAGAACTAACTGAAAATTTCAAATTTTTTGTTTTTGAATTTTTAAAAAATTTACCAATAATCACTTTTAACACCTTGCAATTTATAGAGTTCGTCAGACATAATTGTGATTATACGAATGTTACGAGCTTTTTTTTTCAATTTGAACACATCATTTTATTGTCATTATAACATGGAATCAAAATCGGATAGAGACAAACCAATTTAGATGCAAAATATTTATATTCAAAAATAAAAATACAGAAAATGGCAATAAAAAAAACAAGGGTTTGAAGTATAGATGTTGGTGAGCAGCTTCTCTTCATGAATACAACTCCATTCCACTAGAGCTCGTCGGGTTGGTCCCGAACCCGGACCCGCTCGGGTCCGGGTGAGGTCCGGGTTCGAGTTCGAAAAAAGTTTGGACCCGGTGAACCCGAATGGTATGAGAAATGTATAGCTTTTGCTAGTCACCAAATGCAAAAAGACGGACAAAAATATCCGACATCCTCGGAGTGACTATCCAATAGCAACTAAATCTCTCCCCTCAATAGAAGACCCCTTATATTAGACGAGCCACCATATCGGGAAACCCTCATTGAAGGAACAATGCTGTAGTCATACTAAAAGGCGTCCTAAATTAATTAATTTTTAGAAAAGTTAGACATTTAATTAGTGTCTATATGTCAAAAATATGCCTAGTTTTCAGGGCTTTGAGCTGAAAATCTTAATAGACTAAGATCAATGTTATTTCTGGACTTGTAAAACCATGAAAATCTCTTCTCAAATCCTTAAACTCTTTTTGCTTTCTGAAAAGTGTTTTTAATTAAAAATTATAAAAATAAATGACATACAATCGAAGATCACCCTAGAAACTTTGTATGCTTGGATATAATGGAAGACCACGGTTCTTCTATCTTAAGAAGGGATTTAGAAATTTTTTTTGATAATATCAAAGTCAGGTTTCACCGGGTCCGGATCGGGATCCGGGTCCAATACGTTTGGGCCCGACGGGCTCTAGTGTGGGTGTGGGTGCTATCTTTTCTTATACCCACACCCACACCCCACAGCCACATATCTTTCAACTGCACTTTGCCATTATTCATAGCATTCGGTGTTGACAATGACACTGAGCTTTTATTCGTCAATAAAAGTTCATGATGATTTGTAATACTTAAGTATTCATTGGTCCAACGCCCTTTCGATGTTCGCATCCAATATTTTCCAATACATGCATTGACCCATGATGGATGTGCAGCTGTAATTTTATAATCGAGATTGATCAAATCAACTAATTCAAAGGGATCATATACAAGATGATATAGATGCACTTCATCATTTGCAATATCATAGGTAAGTTTTTTTGGATATTGTTTAACAATGATAGAAGAATTACCAGGATTTGCCAAATGAAATGTGTATCGAACAGGTTGTTTCTCAAGTGGCATTCGTAGGATTGATGTTCCTTCATATNCCAGTAACTCTGACTCATCCGTGAAAAGAAGAATCGGATTAATAGAGCAAAGACCGACAAGGGTGTGGGTGTTGGAGTAGTTTACCAAGCGATGGTCACTTCCAGATAAATCAAAAGTTTATTTTAATCCATTTGAACAGAAAACAGTTGTCTGTAAAAGTGAACCTTTCATTATTAGATAATATTTCTAATTTTGTAGAAAGACGAAATTTTTTTTTTATATTGATTGAAGCATAAAACAACACTGAAGAAAAGCGAAAAATTTTCAAGGTTGCAAAGCCATTTTTTTGACCGTGATACCTCATGATCAAGAAGAAAAAGCTTTTAGAAAAAAACTGTAGAATTAAAATTTGAAACTCGATGTAGTTAATGTTTTTTTTTACTAAATCTTCCAGAAATCCAATAAGAAACTAATTCACATATAAGAACAAGACATTATTGATATACGGTTTTTGATCGAATGCCAACAACGTCTTGCATGAACATTGGAAATATAGGGTCCAAATTTCTACCATGTACGCTCTAACATTCCTTTCAGATCGTAATTCACAAAATATTGCCACAAAAAATTTCGAATCACTTAGTTAGTTCTTTCATAAAATTTATTCAAATCAGTTCGAATTTTGTAAGTGTCACGCATAGTTGTTGATAAAAAAAAAAAACTTTTTTCTGTATTTTGGTAGAACGCGATCTATTTTATCTTTGTTGTAATAAATCTCTCAAAAAAATCATTTTTCATAAACGACATGATCTTCATTTATATAAAATTCATACAAGATTTGTCCTAACGCAAGAAAAAAAAAAGAGAAAGAACGAGAGACAGAATAACGACGACAATAATTATACATACAATAAAATATCGACTGAAGTCTCTCTATAGTTTCAATGATCTGTACATACAAACACACACACACACACACATACATACATGAACCATCTGAACTTATACATCCGAGACCAAAATAAGACGATGATGATACGTAAATATACATTAATAAAGAAAAGAGAAAAAGAGAAGAAAGAAAAAAAAAAACAGTGCACAAAAACAAAATGTAATGCTTGCTCGGACATTGTTTTATTTTTTAAAGATATATATATATATGTGTGTGTATAGAATTTTAAACGACACCTGAGTTTAGACAAAAACAAGAAGAAAAAAAAAAATTCAATCATTATTATGATTGATCACTATTTGGTTTGAAAACTTTATTTCGTTCATGATCATTATTATCTAATTTACGTTTTTTTAGTATTGAATATGAATCACTGTTATTTTCTTCTTCGTCATCTTCTGGCTCTTCTTCTTCTTCTTCTTCTTCTTCGTCTTCGTCTTCTTCTTCTTCTTCATCATCGTCATCATCATTATATTGATCAGCAATACTCGATAAAGCTGGACTCTAAAATAATATAAAAACATAATGATTTCTATGTTTTTTGTTTTATTTTTTCTCACCATCGCGTATGGAGATGAAGCTTCAACTATTTGTGATGATGTAGGAGAAGATGTATCAAGTGGAAGATCGGTAGTCGATGATGATGACGGCATCGGTGAACGTCCAATATGAATACTAATAACAGGTTTATTATAATGAGCATGTGATGATGGTGACAGATCGTCATCATCATCATTATCCGATAAAGAATGATGAGTTCTTGATGGTTCACCGGTTGATATTGCACTAGCTATTTCTGGTTGACTATCGTCATCGTCCGAACCATCGTTAAATAGTGTACCATGATTAAGTGAGGAAATTTTATTTTCATCTATATCATCATTAAACCAATTTTCTTCGTCAACATCAAGATCACGTTCCTCTTTTCGAAGACGTTGAACTGATAAAATGTGATTGGTATTTAGATGATCATAAAAACGAGATGTACTACTCGTTGGTGAACTATAAAATGAACAGAATTAAGATTTGTAATCGATTTTTTTTAAAATTCAAATCATATGTTTATTAAGTTCAATTTCTTAAATTTCGTCATTATTATTTATCTCATAAAGAAAATCGGAGGAGAAGTAGAGAGTCTGCTAGAGCCCGTCGGGTTGGTCCCGAACCCGGACCCGCTCGGGTCCGGGTCCGGGTTCCAAAAAAGTTTGGACTCGGTGAACCCGAATGGTATGAGAAATGTATAGCTTTCGCTAGTCACCAAATGCAAAAAGACGGACAAAAATATCCGACATCCTCGGAGTGACTATCCAATAGCAACGAAATCTCTCTCCTCAATAGAAGATCCCCTATATTAGACGAGCCATCATATCGGAAAACCCGCATTGAAGGAACAATGCTGTAGTCATACTAAAAGGCGTCCTAAATTAATTAATTTTTAGAAAAGTTAGACATTTAATTAGTGTCTATACGTCAAAAATATGCCCAGTTTTCAGGGCTTTGAGCTGAAAATCTTAATAGACTAAGATCAATGTCATTTCTGGACTTGTAAAACCATGAAAATCTCTTCTCAAAGCCTTAAACTCTTTTTGCTTTCTGAAAAGTGTTTTTAATTAAAAATTATAAAAATAAATGACATACAATCGAAGATCACCCTAGAAACTTTGTATGCTTGGATATAATAGAAGACCACGGTTCTTCTATCTTAAGAAGGGATTTAGAATTTTTTTTTGATAATATCAAAGTCAGGTTTCACCGGGTCCGGGTCCGGGTAGGAGAAATTTTAATAAATCGGGTCCGGGTCGGGATCCGGGTCCAAAAAGTTTGGACCCGACGGGCTCTACATTCCACTCACATTGCATACGCATTAAAAATTGAATTGCCACTACAAATTACGATAAAACCTCTTTGAAGCGTCACTTTGACTTTTATTCAAATTCTTAGCTAAGCCCAAAACGACGACCTTTGCTCGTACATGATGAGTTTCCACAAATTGTGGCAGCTGTACTAAGTTGAAAATATTTCTTTGATTAGAAACTTACGTTCTGTACAAATTACAGTATCTTTTCTTTAAAACTTTTCAAAATGATTTATTTGCTATAGGCTATATCATTCATTAAGTCGTTAAAATTTAACTATAATTACTCTATCAAATTAAATAGTTTTAGTTCGACGGATTTCGCATCTTAGTCAAAAATTTAATAAATTTACAAAAATACGGTGCAAAAACATTTTTGCCTCCAAAGATTCACGTGATTTAAGCAGAACAAATAATCTCAATGAAATTTTCTAATCGAAATTGGATAGTCGCCCCGAAGATACGAAATACTTTTTTTGCGGTTTTTTGTATTCGATGATTAGCGTACTCTACACAGTTTTCAGACGACTACAGTCCGTCAAGATCAAAACTTTCGAATCCGAGATCAACTCGACGGACTCTAACCGGTAGACCATTCTGTATAATGTGCACAGTACTGCCGGTATATCGGCAATTAAGCGGAAGGTAATCTCATATTGAAACGAACGTGCAACAAAGGTCTTCAATTGATTGAAGCCTGAAGTGTTTAGATATAATATTTATACCCAAATGCTTCATATATATCACTTACAATAAGTATCAAAATAATTCAAAGATTCTTTTTTTTTTAATCAAACAGATACTAATGCAAATGCCAAAAAATGTTTATACTTAAATAAATTAAAAATGATAAAAAAAGGAAAAGTTCTAAATAATAATTATCACACAAATATACATATATATGTATATATGTATATATATTTAATATTGTCAAGTTAATAGAAATAAAAACAGCAACAACCAATAAAAGAATTTCAAATCTACACATAATATATGCATTCTCACATATAAAAAAAAATCACCGATTTAAAATACAGTTCAATGATAATGAGCGTGTAAGACGCCCCTTCTTAGGAGTATTTGTTGTTATTATTGATGAAAAACTATGTACTCGATCACGAACTTTTTGTGTAGAACACGTATTAAAGTTCGATTTTGATGTTGATGTTAATGACGTTGATGATGATCGTTGACGAAGACTATAAAGTAATGTTTCATTTTCAAATATTAATTGTCGTTTATCTCGTTCTAATTGTGCTAATAGTTCCTTTAGTTGATCACGTTCAACAACAGTTGCTCTAAAAATATGATAGATAATTATATTGTTTAAAAACTATTCAATTTTTTTTAAAATTAAATATAAAATATTCTGCTACATGATAGAAGATTTAGTCGAAGATATATTGAAATGTCTTTATGGGATATTCGATTTCTTATTTTAATTCGAAGAATATATAATGCAGATATTTGATAGAAGCAAAATTGTTAATAGATAATAATAAAGAGTTATGACATAGGTAAGCAATATATACTTAACAAATATAAGATGATTTGTTAATTGAAAACTAATTTTAAAAGACTAGAATAATAACATATCCAATAAGATAACAACTTTCAATGTTTGTCTCATTGCTTGAATAAATTCAAAAAGAAAAAAATGCATAAAACTAACTCTTATTAAGTCACATTTCGGAGACTTTTTAGTACTATTTCGTATGTACATTGAAATCATCATTATTCTTGCTTATTGTAAAACGATTGTTCTATTATGAAGAATGATCAGTGTTGATACAACTTTCTTTCCGGAATTTCTGGAGAATGACTTATCAGAAAAATCTAAAACTTTTAGGATGAATAAAATTCAATGAGTATAGTCAAAGCTGTCCTAGTCTCAAAATTCTCGAATACTTTTCTGCAGGAGTTACTGAGGTCGTAAGGTATAGAATGATCATTTCTTCTCAGCTACAATACGTCTCATAGAGCTGAGCATTATTTAGTTATAGCTAAAAAATATTTCAAAAAATTTATAAAACAGAAAAAACTCAAAATAGACACTCTATAACTTTCGAGTCAGCAGATGGGATGAGATCTTTCGACCTATTGCATGCGTTCAAGTGTCAATTTAAACTAAAATTTATGCTAGTAAAGTATAAAAATACATATATGTATTTCCAACGAGATATTTGAATAGCTGACCACTATGTTTGTTTTTTCAAGTTTTGTTTCAGATTTTTCGAAAAATATTTTTAAACTTCTCTGTAATTTAAATTCAATTTACTTTTCGTTTAATTGCCAATTTCGTAGAAGACATACAAGATCTTGATTTCGATTTTCAGCCATATCAATTCGTTTTTGTAATGCTAATTGATCCTCACGCTAAAAATAACTCAATAGAATATGAAGAGAAAAACAAAACAAAATTTTATTTATTTTTATACTTGAAATACTTGTTCATTAAATTTAGTTCTTAATTGTGTTAGTTCTTGATTTTTTATTTCAAGTGCTGTTTGTAAACTTGCTTTATCTTTTTCAAGTGTTTCAACACGACGTAATAAAGGATCAGCATGTTCACTATTTGCCATTTCTTCCATAAATCTATCAACTTGTTCTTGTAATGATGTACAACGAGTTTCTAATTCAATTTTTTCGTTCTATTCATCAGAAAAATTAACGAATGATTGAACAAAGACAAGTCTATGTTTACCAATAGTTTATCAATCTGTTGTTGATATTCAATAGATTTTTCCTTCGAAGTTTCTTTCATTATATTAATTTGATTTTGATGTTGTTCATTCAATGTAGCTAATTCATTTTTAAAAGATGTTTGTAATTGTTCGATGAAAATCTAATCGATAGTTTAATTTATTTGATGAATAGACAAAAGAATAGAAATTTACTTTTAATTGACTATGTACTATTTGAACTGATGTAAGAAAAAAGAAATTTTAGACAATTAAAAATTTAAGAAATACAAAAAAAGTAATAGCATACTTTTCGATAGTTTTAATTCATATTGATTTTTGATTTTTTCATTCTAACAAATAACAAAAGAATAAAAATCAGCTTGTCTATTTTAAAATATCATCTTACTTCGGTCATGTAATATTGACTTAAAATATACATAAGGTCAAAATGATTAAGTAATTGTTGATATTGTTTTTTTAAACGTTCGTTAGTAACTTCAAGTGATTGATAAACAATTTTTTCCCTAAATTCAAGTAAAAAACAAAACTACTTCAAATAATTCATAAAATTAAGTTTTTTTTTGGTTATTTTACATGATTAATTGATTATCAGCTACATCAAGACTATGACAAGAATGATTAGATTTTTTGTCTAGATAACAAAACATATTCGAAAGTAAATAAACAAAAAAAGAACAATTCTTCTACCTAAAGTAGCATCAATCGAATGAGATATTGCTCGAGTTGTACCTGATTTTGGTTTTGAAGGAATTTTCGATTTATTTTGTTGATTAGATGTTAAATCGGATTGACTACTAGTAACGGAAGTCGATGGTGAAACGGATTGATTGAGTTCTAAATAGAAACACTTGATCATAATAATAAATGTATGATTAAAAAAAGAAATTATACTCAATTGTGATCCTAATGATGTTGTTGAGTTTACTTTGTTCATGGATGAAAGTTTCTTTTTTGGTGGTATTAATGTTGTTTTTGGAAGAGCATTTAAACTGTTCGTTAGTGGGATAGATGATTTTCGTTGAAAATCTTAAGAAAATAACGAAAATTTAATTTACATTATGGATATGTTTCTAACCTTTTGTGGCTCCTAAAACAGGAGTTGGTATACTTGCTTTTCTCATAAAAGCATTAACTTTATTATCTTGAGTGTTTATTTTAGATTTATCGATCGATTTTGTTGAATTACTTAATTGTTTATTTGAATTTGATGGCGGTTTAGCATTTGATAAATTATTTTTAACAAATGTTATATTATCATTTATATCAAATGATAAATCTGTTTGGATAGATTTTGTTAAATTAATCATAGAAGATAAACGATGAGCAGATTGTATTTGTTCGCTCATTACTGATTCATTAATACTTTCAGTGTCTAATTCATCGTCATCATCATCATCATCATCATCATCATCATCAATTGCCCCTTCACTGGTTGTTATTGAAACCGATGGCTGATCAAAGAAAGTTTTTTGTTCTTGTTGAAGTTGATGTAAAATTAATGATACACTATCTGTAAAATCAGCTTCAATAGTTTCTGAAGCTAAAAATTAGAAAAATAATTCGCTAATAAGAAATATGTTTTCTTTTAACATACGTTCATCAGTTGTTATGGATTTAGATTCAATGATGATTTTTGTTTCTGATGTTGATTTATTAATGTCCTAGAATTAGAAATATGAATTTATGGAAGAGTTATTTGTTAGAAAAATTAGACAAACATGATTATCAGAAATTATTGATTCATTAATTGTCTCGATTTTTGTTATTGATTGAATAGAATTTGTCGAATTTGGAATAATATCTGGTAAATGAGCAGATGTTTGAGAAGTTCTTATTTGAATTTGTTCAATTTCATCATGTATTGGTGTTGGAAGTGTAAATGAACGTGTCATGGTTGTTGGAGGTTTTAAACGACTAATTGTTCGTTGTGATGTCTAAATATTTTATTGTATTATTTCAAAATGTTTTTATATTTTTTTTGCTTTTTAAACATATACATACCAATGTTCGTTTTTGTGGTGCTAAAACAACTTTATCATGTGGTACAAATATTCCACAATTTGTTTTACAGTGAAAATATCTTTGAAAAAGAAAAAGAAAAAACTTAATTTAATATAATCAAACTTTTATTTATTCTAAATACCGAATATCGTTCACTTGTCCGTCATGTTTACCGTCGGGTTCATCGAGTTCAACCCCACAAAATAATCCTTGAGCAAATTTTACTGCACCTATATAACGAAGTATTCCACTTTTAAGTCCATTTATTATTACACGATCGCCAACTGTAAATGATGATTTACTTTAAATGAACAAAATAGGTACCACTTTTTATTGTTGTATCATGTCAAAAAAAAAAAAAAAAAAGAAACTAACGTGTCATTATGCACAGCCAATGGCATTGGCGGCGTAACAGTTGTTGCTCGACGAGATACAATAGGTATACTTCTAGATTCTACAACTGTATTTGTTCGTGTTCGTAAGGGTAAAAATGATTTGCGTTCAGTAGCAACCTATAATATGTAAAATAAAGAAATAGATCGATTACATAGAGAGAGACGACACTTGGTGCATTTTTCTATGTTCAATACCAGACACATTAATCTATTTCGATAGTAAAGGAATGGAGAACATACCTAATCAGAGAGCAAACGAGTAACATATATGTTCTCTATTTCATTGGCATGAACATGAGCAGAACGAAGTAAAAAAAACACTAAAGGGAAGCATCACATGCTGTGAATTAAATGCATACACACGCACATAACATTTACTTTTTTTTTCCTCTGGTTATTGTCATCGTCTTATATTCCTCACTGTTAGTAAGAGTTTAACTGTGAGCATCTTTAATACTATAGTTGATGTATAAGTAACATAAGAATATAATCTGTGTTAAGTGTCATTGATAGCTTAGACATGTTCAAGTGTCAGATATAATTATATTCAGTATGCATGTGATATTTTATTATCTTACCGGAACATTCATGTGATTGATTAAATATTGAAGATAGCACAAAATAATAAACGCTTATTCAAAACACGTTATGATCACCGGAAGAAAAGGAACAAAAGATAGAGTTTGTTAGACACCTAACGAAATGAAGCGTTTATAGGTAACAAGCTGTTCTCATTGACGGATGATTCAATGGTAATAGGACGTCATTGGTAAATATGCTAAGACCAATAAATAAATGCTTCAAATGAGAGCGCACTCGTCAACATAGATAAACAATTCATAAAGTCTCACGACTGTGATAGTGTTCCTAAAATGATGGAAATTGAAGTAAGAAGAGATGAATGCTTTTTATGAGATATAATGTGTCAAAATTAAAAGAACTGAAGTAATTTTGTTTCAAAAACTTTGAAAATTATCGAAGTAAAAAATAATAATAAAACCTTCTATGACAGAGAAGCAAAGGTAATCGCTTCAGGGCAATCATGTAAAATATTTTTTTTCTCATTAAGTAAATGGTCTATTTGAATCTATTCTGTCTATACGATTCACTCAAGCGAATCATAAATAAAATTATTTAATAGTGTAATCAGTCATTGACTCTGTTCGAAAGCTAAATTTCTAATTAGAAAAAAAAAAATATTCTTGTTGTCTTCAAATGACCTTCTATGAAAACGATCTATTGATTCAAGAAAAATAAATTACATAAACATGTATTACAATTAATTAAAACATTGAAATCGAAAACCTTTCTATATTAAAACATCGATAAAAAAAAACAAAATGATATAATTTCGTAATTGCTCATCAATCTATAAAGAAACAATATGTATTAGCAAATATTCGTAGCTATTTATTTTTCTTTTAATCTCTCTTATTAAATAGCAATTAAATATGTTTACAGGTTGATATTTTCATATCCTATCGTGCAGAGTTCTCTGCAAAATTGATACACTGTCTTGATTTTAATTTTTAATTGAGTCAAAATCAGTAGATGAATTCGAAGATAATGAAGACGAATTTCATGAATGATTACAATAAGCCAATCGCATCATCACAACCAAATGATAGAGTAAACTTTTGAGTTCATATACGAGAATAAAAAATACAAATACAATTATTCAATGGTTATTTTATCTATTTATTTTCTACTAGATTTATTCAAATTTACATCTATAGTTCACAGCTATTTAAATATCACTTGGCTACTTATTTATTGTGATTATCTTTTTTTTAGCTAGAAAGAGAAAGATTAAATACATAAGCGGATAAATCATAGAATTATTGCTTAAGTTAAATTAATAACGACTGATATTAAATGTTGATTGTTTCGATTGAGTTAGAAGATTAAAGATGTTTCTTAAACGTGCCTTAGTTTGAATCGAGCAATATGACATGAGAGTGTTAAAAAAAAAATAAATAAATGTTGTAGACAGTATATATATATAACAATGATTACTTTTGAAGTGATTAATACCCTTCATATAGAAAATGAATACTTCTGTCAGTCAGTGTAAGAAGAAACAATAAATCAATGTCAGACATTCAAGTATAAAATAATAAAATTTATCAGAAAGACATTAGACCATAACACAATGAAAACAAGTCTAAGAGTTATTTAATTTCAATAAAAAAAAAAGAGGCAGCCAGTACGAGCAGTTTTGTATGCATAGTACAAAAAAAGAAGCATCAACAATATGATACACTAAATAAATAAGAGAGATAAAAAAAAACACAAGAAGTAAATAGAAATTATTACGCAGATGAATCAGTTATTTAAATTTGATTTAATAGAACTTATTAAATTGGCCAAGAGTATATAGTTTCTATTGAAATTTAACTGCTATCTGACTGAAAAAAAAACTAAAAACGAAAGTATATATTTAGTATTTCAGAATTCTGTTTTGTTATTGAAAAAATTGAATTTTTTTCTCAATCTGATAGTAACATCAAATAAAGGGATAAAAATTCTATAGCTCATAGTCTGATAATTCCAATGAGATAAAACACTTGCTTCTATCTCTTCTTATTAAAAACGAAATAGTTTAAGAAGCAATATTAACAAATATATGCTCTAAGATATGTTGAAGGTAACGGGTGAGTCAGATTAAATGGCCCTCTCAGTATTTTGACTATAACTTTTTTTCCTTTTGTTCTTTAGAGCTAATTGTTTTTTCAAAAGATGCGCCGTGAAATTCTCTGTAAAATCATAATCAAACTTATTTGTGTAGAAAGTTAAGGAAAAACGTTAAACGAAGATTATTCGACACATTAAAAGTACCCCACTTTCAAAGCTAACCGGTGTTTGTATCTCTTTTTTTTATTGTTAAGTACGTCTATTTTAAAGACAAAGCATACCATAAGACGCAGCGTAAAAAGTTCTATAAGTTACATTGAAAACCTTATTTTATACATGCACTCTTTGTTCTCAAAATGGACAAAATTCTGTCCGACCAATTTTCGACGCTGCGAACAAGATCAGTTTTTGCTACACTACGAATTCATTTTTTCTTATTTCATCTTTTTATCGTCTAATATGTTGTATTAAAAGAAAAGAAAATATACTACAAGATGGAGCGTGAAAAGCTCTACAATCTACAGCGAACAGTTTATTTTATATATATATGCATCTTTTGTTTTTATAATAAGCAAAGCTCTGTGCGACCAAAAATGATCTTGTTCGCAACGTCGAAAATTAGTCGCATAGAATTTTGTCCATTTTGAAAACAAAGAGTGCTTGCATAACATAAGGTTTTTAATGTAACTTGTAGAGCTTTTCACGTTGCACCTTATGGTATACTTTACTTTTAAAATAATGTGCTTGGCGATGGAAAAAAGAGACATAAACATCGGACACTTATGAGACATCCGTCAGCTGTGAAAGTTGAGTACTTTTAATGTGTCGGATAATCTTTGTTTAATTTTTGTCTTTAACTTTCTACACAAATAAGTTTGATTATGATTTTACAGAGAATTTTACGGCGCATCTTTTGAAAAAACAATTAGCTCTAAAGAACAAAAAGAAAAAAAGTTATAGTCAAAATATTGAGAGGGCCATTTAATCTGACTCACCCGTTAGAAGAATTCGTTTTCTTTTAAAATTTCTTTCAAGTAAAGCATGCCGAATATATCATCTTACTCTATGCTGTTGCATTACTTTTTGCCAGTGTTTTATCGACATTTTATCTTTCGAAGAGGCCTTTTAAAACTTCAGCAGGACGAACATCTATTTTTTGAGGTACAAACTCCTGGAAGATCAAATTGATGTTCAGAAAGATACTATTCCTCGACCATCATGCTAAATAAGACACTCCTTTCGTTGTTCGCTTGAAACTTTGATTAGTTTTGAATTTAGATTATTGTATTTTTTTAAAGCTTTTTCCATATATATATAGTTTTTCTTTCGAATTAATAAAATTTCATAGAAGAATATTTTCACTATTTTTGATGATTATTAATCTTTATTCAATATACGTAATTTTAAAATAAACTTGTNTGGTGATCAAGCTAAAAGGTCTGTTAATGATATTGGTACAAGTAATGAAATCAATGGGTACATTAGCAACAAGGTAGATATCATGTAGCTGATTTATGTTAATTTTTTTTAATCGGATGCTTGTTATTCGAAGAATTTTTACCATTTTCTTTAATAAACTGAAGATACATGTATATGAATCTATACTCAACTTAAACACATAATAAGCTGTGAATCCTAAGTATAATATTGACTTTTGCTCTATCTGAGTACAAAAAACATAAACGGCTATGTTCTGCTCCACTATTGCTTTGTAAAAAAAAAGAAACGATTGATACGACTCATACCATTTACCACTTACAAAAATATCTCAATGAGAAATTTCAAAATCTGATGGAGTTGACTGTCCTATATGCGCAAACACTATCAGATCTTACAAGCTTGACCATTTTTTTAAAATCATTTTAGAGATTTTGCACCGTTTTACTTACTATTTTCGGTAAAAATCAACGAATAAAACCAGTGGTACTTTTTAAAGGTAAAGGTAATATTGGTGTTAATGAACGTGAACAGTATTCAAAAGATGTACATGTTATTTTTACACCAAAAGCTGTAATTAATGGACAATCAATGGATACATATATTAATAAATAGTTAGAAAAGGTTTGAGAATATTGTTTGAGCACAGAAAGAGAATGTCTGTCAATATAATGTGATGATAGGGTAATTTTGATTAGTAATCATCTTTAGAATAGGATAAAAAATATCGTCATCACTTTAAGAATTTCAGAAACACTAATCTATTGTGCGACTAAAGTTTATTATTTATCTTATAGGTGCATGATGGTCATCCTAAATCCTTTATTGCCGATTCAGCGAATTCTCATTTAAAACCCGAAATAATTCAAAAGTTACGAAAGAAGAATGTTGTGGTATCTATTATTCCAAAAGGGTGCACACAATATCTACAACTTCTTGATACAGCAGTTTTTTCGGTATTCAAGAATCGCTATCAAGCTGCTGATGATGAATACATTGATTGTTATAGTTCACGTAGCAAAATTAAATTAACAGCTAAACAACAAAGAATTCTATGTACTCGTTTAATTTCAACAGCGTGGATTCGTACTCAGAAAAGAATCGATTTTGAACGTGCGTTTCTTGATATTGGTTATACATGGGTGGATGAATCTCCTGTTTCTATTCGAACTTTAAAAGGATTTATTTTTGATCCATCAACAGTAACTTCTTCGACATTCAATGATGATGAAAATGAAGAAAACGAAGAATATAATGCAAAGAAAACAACGGTCGAAGAAAAAAAAAGAGCTCACATTTGTTAAGCATCATCAGCAACAACAAATTGAAACAGCTCAGCTTAGATCAGTTTATCAAAAAATGAAATTTGATTGTAGTTCATTCTTGTTTTTCATTTTTTTGTATTTTTACTTTGTACTTTTACTTTGTATTGAAAATATAATGATGATGAACTAATTCAATTACATCTTAATGTAATATAATAACGATATCTGAACCTCTGTGAACAGATATTCATATTAGAAGACTACTCATAATAGAAGACCCCTCTAAAGAATTTCTACACTAAAGCATAATAGAAGACCCAGAGTCTTTTATTGTAGGGGGGGGGGGGGGGGGATTAGGACTTGAAGGCCTAAAGGTACCCCTGTATAATAGCCCTTAAGGACCTATAGGTACCTCCAAAATGTAACAGTTAAGGACCCAAAGATACCTCTAACATATAACGGTCGAAGGCCTAAGGGTACCTCCAGAATTTGGGACTTGAGGACCTAAGGATACTTCCAAAATATAGCTGTTGAAGACGTAAGTGTACCGTCAGCGGAACATTCGTATCCGCGATCCGTACGACCCCATGACGATCCGTACGATCCCATGACGATCCGTACGACCCCATGATGATCCGTACGATCCATACAATCCGTACGATCCCGAAATCCGACAACTCGCTTTTTCTCCCTTGGATACTACGCTGAATTTTCTCTGAAATCCATTGTCGATTGATTATGTTGCACCACCATCCCGAGACTCACTAAAAGCAATACATTTGACTTTCTCGAAGATTCTTTGGGCTACTATTTAAGCGATCAGTAAAATAAATTAAATGGTCAGTAAGATAAATGGTCAGTACTTAGATTATCACTTATGTAAAAAGAAGATTGGGGAAAATCTGATTTTAATCAGATTTTTAATCAAACTAGTGATTAAAATAAATTAAATTTATAAATATCAATACTAATGGCTGCGACCGTAAAATGTGTTTTCTCGAGCTTTTTCTTGAAAACTCAGATGTTCGATAGCTTTTTTGGATTACTTGCCTCGAAAAATTAGTAGACATGATGCTAGATCAACCTTTGACATAAATTTCATGCCTTAAGACTCGATATCAATTGCTACTTATTCAATTAAAAGGAAAAACTATTCGAACTGATTAAAATCGATTTAAAAATTTTAATAGATTTAATGGATTTATATATTTAATTTTGTTTAATCACTAGTTTGATTAAAAATTTGATTATAATTGTCCCATTTTAATCGATTTTTAATCACAAAAAATCGATTAAAATCAGATTTTTTCCAATCTTCCTATTGTATGAGTAATAATCCAAGTACCGACCATTTAATCTTTTTACTGACCATTTATCTTACTGACCATTTGATTTATTTTACTGACCGCTTAATAATATCTCAATTCTTTGCTCTTCTGCGTCATAAGTACTGACCATTTTCAATTAATTAAATTAAATTGATTAAAGAAAAAATCAGTTGTCGTTGTCCATGAAACTAATAAACTACGAAACGATCTTATAGTGTTTCACACGTGTTCTAACCTTTTATCTTAATAAACAGTAGACGAAAAAAAATAGCATTCGGTAAGCGAAACGAAATATGCTTGCAGAACGTCAAGATTGTCTAGAGAAGATAAAAGTGAGAGCTGTTTTATCTTTTCTTTTATTCTAACGACATACCATTCTTCACATTTAAAACAAGAGGGTAAAAAGGCTACAACACGAACAAAAATTATATTATCTTGTGGACTGGATTATGTTGAATTATTGTAACAACGATGCTTCTATTAATCTTCGTGAAAAAAATGTTCTTATCTCATAACTGATAATCGTTAGGCTGTCAAAATTCTACTGTGGGAATGTCTAAAGATGTGCGATATTTGTAATGAAACAATTGCCAGAACCCTTAGAATTTAATATCCATATATCCAATTTTTTCCGCGCTTTCATTTGTATAAAACTAGCGAGAGCCCGTGCCATACTGCACGGATGCTTTTTTCCTGAAAAGTTTCACATCTCTGCGTTAGTCTTGATTCGGTAATAGACAATCAGACACTTTGCATTATATATATTGAGAGACCTTATAGCCTTATACCCTCGTAGTCTTACGCCCCTTGTAGCCTTATACCCTCGTAGTCTTACGCCCCTTGTAGCCTTATACCCTCGTAGTCTTACGCCCCTTGTAGCCTTATACTCTTGTGGTATTACCTCTTATAGCCTTATTCCTTCATTTCCTTATCCCTTATATCCCATGCAGTCTTATCTACTTATTCCCTATACCCTTATCTCCTTATACTCTTTTAGTTTTATCCTTTATACTCCTGTAGCCTTACCCTCTTATCCCCTTTACCCTTATACCCTTATAGCCCTTGATGACCTATGGATACTCCCATAAGATAATCAATCGTTATTTTTACTAGCATTTGGATCAAAGATTAAAAGCTAAGTTTCCATAAAAACGAGAGCAAGAGTGATTTTCCTCGCGTTTCTATACCAATCAGAAGAAAAGCCTATAACACATTCGGCACGATTTGGTTTTAATAGAGATTAGCTCTGATAGATTTATTTTCTTGTCCATTCTAGACATGCACCAAAACCAAAACTAGTTTTGGTTTTGAGTTTTGGTTTTGAAGGTTTTGGTTGTAAAATATAGTCTTTTTCGAAGCATCTTGAGGACATAGACCAAAACCATCAAACCCAAAACCATATCAAAACTAAAGCCTTCAAAACCAAAACTTTAAACCCGAGAGTTTTGGTTTTGGTGCATGTCTAGTCCATTCTTCTTCAAACAAATGCATCCCTTGACCTTTTTATTCTATGCTAGCTTCGTCGTTTTCTCTTTTCTGTTTGTAACATTGTAAGGGCAGTCCTTTTTCTCCACAAACTGGTTAATTTAAGCTCAAATCTGGCCCAAAACAAAAATCAACAAGCTAAATGAAGTGCAAACTCGCTGATCACAAGTTTGAAGAAAAGGAAGGATCTATGCACAATGTCGGCAGACGTTGTACTGACTGCTATGCAAAGGAAAGGACACAACAGTCAAGGGATGCGATCTATGCGGCAGCACAGAAAGTAAACATCTTCTGTTCTGATTGTGATAAAGTTTTTTGTCTTGATTGTTTTAATAACAAGTATCATGTTATGGAATAAAGAATTCAAATAAAGTGTTAAAGGTAGAACAGATGGTGCATTACGTTTGATCTTCTACCTAAGAAAAAAGCAAAAGAAAATGCTTTTTTTTATACAGTTACTCATTAAAATATAGCGTGGCATACCGGTGGGCCACATCGTACCGAATGTGTTAAAGTACTCTTGTTTCACTGTTCTCTTACATCTACAATTTGTGCTCTCATCTAAGGTATAAGATTATGTTGACACAAATCGATGAAAAAAAAAATTGAAATATTAATCATACTTAGAAGAACTTTGTCTGCGATACTATGAAACTTATGGCATTGATTCAGGAACTCAAATTTCTCGTGTTGAATCAAAGTGATTTGTATATGAAATGGAAGAAATTTAGTTTTTGACGACATTTTCCCTTTTTTTGATGTCTTTTAAGGCAGCTTGAAATAAAAATAATATTGCTGCGTAATGTATTTATTGCATAAAGTTAACTATTATTTGATAAGCAAATGTTTGATTTCTGGCTGAAATATTATCGTTTTTCAGAGGAAAAGAAAAATGACTTAGGTGATGGTGATAAAAAAATTTTTTTTTGTCTTTAATCTTACTCATTTAATCTCAATAAGTATGATTAATTCCATGATATATATATGCAGATAAATGAAACGAAAGCAAATTCAGTACAAAATATGTTTTGGTTCTTCTTTCTTATTGCTTTAATCAAAGCAGATTCAATAGAATTTCAATGTCCTCCTACAACGGCATCAATACAACATCTTCTTGATGAAGCATATATTCCAGGTGCTTCAATTATTGTTCTCAATCGAGATGAAGTTCTCTATCAAAAAGGAATTGGTTACCATTCTCCTCCAATATCAGAACAACGTCAACCAATGAATGCTTTATCGTCAGTTTTCGTGTTAGCATCAATTTCAAAAACATTCATCGCTGTTGCTACTATGCAAATGGTTGAATTAAATCTTCTTAATCTTGATGAAGATATTAATAAATATTTGTCACCTCGTATGAAAATTATTCATCCATATTATCCAAATGCTATTATTACTACTCGACATTTACTTACACACACAGCTGGTATTGGACAAAATCTTATAGAAGAATATAAATTCTATCTTCCTGGTGATGGTTTTACAAAAACAAATCTTGGTGATGTCATTGAAAAATATCTAAGTTATAATACTAGTTGGTTACCTGTACCACCTGGTCATAATATAACATTCTATTCAAATGTAGGAGCAAGTTTAGCTGCATTTATTGTTGAACGTTTAGCTAATACATCATTTGAAGAATATGTTCAAGAAAAAATATTAAAAGTATTAAGTATTGATAAAAAGGATGCTGGCTATCGATTAAGTAATTTTCAAGATAAGAAAGAATCTCTTATTGGTCATTATGTTTATAATGCATCATGGCTTCAAACATTTCAATATATGGTACCACAATTAAATGTTTCTCGAGTAAATTTAAAATGATGTTAAAGGTAATGAATAATGTTTTCTTTAAATATTTGTAGGCTGATAATTTTTCTGATTGGTTATATGTTCCTTTTTACGGTGTTAGTAGATATCCGGCTGGTTATTTACGAATGTCAGCTTATTCATTGAGTCTATTTTTGCAATCATTTCTTAATAATTTTACAACACTTTTACATAATTTATCTTCCATTGAAGAAATTATTCATGTTGCACCACAAACAAATTATTTGAATATGACAGACAGTAAATATGGTCTTATGTGGTATTGGAAAGTTATAGGCGAACGACGTTTAATTGGGCATGAAGGATCAGTACCTGGTATAACAACAATAATGATGGCAAATGAAAAAAGAAATTTAGGAGTAATTATACTAACAAATGGAGATGTTGTGCGAGACGATAGTCAAGCGAATAAAGTCCAAAAGACAATAATTAATATGAAAAAAGAACTATTTGATTGTTTTGAAAAGTCAACGAACACAGGTTCTGCAAATCGATCATATAACTTTTTTTTAAACTATGGAATTATTAGTATTATATGCTTCATATTTAATTCATTCATGATGCTCTGCTAAAATTAACTATAGTCCATCCAAAAAGTTCGTGCGTGTGACTATTTGTTGAATAACTCGAGAACAAAAAGAGATATAAGCATGCGGTTTTCCCGTTGCGCAGAGCTTGAAGTACTCTATCGATCCACTAATAGAAGATGAAAAATATCGACTGTTCAGGTAATATTCATTGTCGATATTTGAAAGATGTGAACGTGGTTGCCTTAAATCTTATAGTGACTGATCGGTTTTAAATATGTAAAAGATAGCCTAGAGGATCCTCTGCAAAATGGCGAAAGGCCGACCTGTCTAGGTATTATGGTTCAAAAATGTCACACATTTTCCTGAAGACTATACAAGTGATTTTTTTCAATAGGATGATCTGTAAATATGTATAGTACAGCTCGTTGTTGATAATTGTTTACATTGTAGGAATGACTTTTTTTGGTCTGAAACGACTTTGATAATTGTAGATGATAAACTAGACTATGCAGAAAGAGTATAGATCCAAAATATGTGATTAAAATGAAAAAAAAATAAAAAGTGTAATCTTATTACCAACATATTACAGAGAATCACATATTGATATAAACAAATATCTAATTCTTATATACTGTATTCATCTAGTTTATGTCGTGTTGGCTACATTGCATGGGTATTCTGAGAATCCTTTTGATGTATTGAAATCGTCTTTTTAAATGCCATAGTTAGCCGCGACTACATGCACTTATACTTTTACCATTGCAGTTATTGTTAATGTTGCTTCTTCAGAGAGGAGTCTTGGACGACCAAACTGTTGAAGAGAAAACAAATCAATACCTCTTAGAACATTAAGACAACATAGCAAAGACGACGTAAACCAGAAGGATACAGTATATAAGAATTATATGTTTGTTTATATCAATATGTGATACTCTGTAATATGTTGGTGATAAGATTACACTTTTTATTTTTTTTCCATTTTAATCACATATTTTGAATCTATGCTCTTTCTGCATAGTCTAGTTTATCATCTACAATTATCAAAGTTGTTTCAGACCAAAAACAGTTATTCCTACAATGTAAACAATTATCAACAATGAGCTTTACTATACATATTCGCAGATCATCCTACCCAAGCGGTCATCGGATAGGCATTTCGAGGGGTCGAAATGAGGTTGTCGAGGCCATCGAAATTCAAAACGTACTGGTCGGATTCTCATTTTCCGATGGGTCGAGGGCTCCTCGATGGGTTGCTTGAAGCTGTATATTGAAACATATACTATTGATTTTCGAGCGCTCGAGTATTAGAATCGATGGGTCGTTAATAGCCACTCTCCACATCATTTTTCGACCTATCTGTTATCGCTTTCTTTTTTATTTCGATAGGTGCACCGAATGGTAAATATCGCAAGGCTTCGAGCTATCCACGTTTCGATAGCTATGGAACACTCGAAATTACGGATAGATTCGAATGGTCGAAATTGCGTTAGGTTGCGATCGGTCGAAAAGCTTTTAGCTTGCGGGCTATCGAAATTTCGAGCGCTCGAAAACATTTTTCTTAAAAAAATAATCAAACTTTTGTAATTATATCAAGCTAGACGATGCGAGCCCTCGATACCCATCAGATATGTTGCAGAAAGGAAGATTCGAACATATGTACTTACGATTGTGTAGCTTGTTCCGAACAGATGATCTAAATATGACGTTCAATTACAACTTAGACTTTCGTTTAGTGATGAAAGATATTAAACTTGGAAGTTTAAACTTTTTTTTGAATAATGATTATGATTTTTTTTGAAATACTAGAATAATATTTTTCTAGTCTAGACAATAAAGTTAAAATATAGTTGTCGCAGGCTTGGTTACATTAAATACTAGATATAGCAGAATACATCTCGTGTTATAATATATTACGATAGTTAAAAACGAATTAGAAAATAATTAATGAAAAAAAATCAAAGAATTTCTCAACTACTTTCATGAAGGTTTGAATATTCGATAATTTCAATAGTTTCTTCATCGTTAAGCCAATCTATATGAATGTTTTTTTTTAATTTGTGAAGGTGATCGAAGAATAAGACATGTTGAATGCATTCGAATATAAATATTTGGTATTGTTGTTGTAACATTATTTACTTTTGTTTGCAGTAAATTAACTTGTTTCGTTGGTTCTTCAACAAGATCTTCCAATAAAACAAATATTTTACCATTATCATTTGTATCAGTAACAATTGCTCTAATTAGTCCAATTTTAATCTGTTTTCCAAATTCAAAAGAGACACAACAATCAGAAAATTTCTCTGATTTAATCGATGATAGTGTTTTATACTGGATATGTTTTACGACCAATTCATTATGGAATAAAAAATTTCTATTAGTTAATAATCGTAAATGTTTCAATTCTTCTAAATAATTCGCAGAAGATACTTGTTTTTTCACGTATATAGTTTGATTCGATAGTAATTTCCGACGTAAGATACTTTCATTAAAATCAAAAAGTTTCTGCGGATATCCAGACTTGAATGTTTCTATAATGGCTTGCCTATAATATTGTAAATGAGATATTAATTGTGGTCCATAATGTGTCATCCCATGGATCATAGATTCTAGATTATGACCAATTCCTAAGATAGAAAGTTAAAAATAGATATTTATTAGAAAAATATTTTCCGATCAACTAATTAGAAAAAATAATCTAGAAAAATGATTGTTTTTATTACCACAAAAATAAAAAAGAATAAGCTAATGGCAATCAAAATTTGCTAAATTATAGCCTTTTTTACAAGCAGCATGTAGTTTTTATGGTTCTTCAGGGTCATTTGTGTTCAAAATCACTACAAAACAAGCCATTCGCCTTGAATTAGTTTTAGTAGCTAAATCAACATATATCATTGTTATTGATGGTGCTCAAGTTCATCTATTATCTGGCAACATCTAGTGATTGTTCGTAATTTTTATTTTCGGTCGCCCATATAGTATTAGCTCTTTCAAAAACAAACATGAAAATAAACCGAGTCAAGGTATTTTGTAAGTTGTCACTAGCATCTGTATGACGACAAGATATGTATTACGAGATCATATGAAACTAAAAGCTCTAGAATCAAACTAACCTTCAAAGTTAAAAGTACTGTACATATAGAGTGGACCAAGAAATTCGATAGATTCATAAACATGTAGCAATGAGTGAACATTATACGACATATAACGAAGACCAAATATTTTTTGCCAATCTTTTACATATTGTTGTAATAGTTCTTTGACTAATTTAACATCACAATCACGAATAACATCTTTAGACGCAATATTAACAGCAGCCAAAAGTAATGCAAAATGACGACGATATTTAGGCAGCTTGGCTCGCAATAGTACTGTTGATCCATGATGCATCAAAGATCTGAATTCGTTGGCTTTGTAACGTTCTAGTTTTTTTATTGATCGAAATCGTCGACTTGTAGTAGTAGGAATTTTTACAGCAGCTAGCCCTTGATCAATACTATTTATTTTATTATATAAAGACCACTTTTGCTGACGATTTATTTTGGATTTTGAAAATACAAGTAAGCACATTTTTTTAAATACACCTATGTACAAAGTATGTAATGAATCGTAAAGTATTGATTGACCGAAAGAATAATATTTTAATTTAATCAAAGAACATGAGCCTAGAATGAAACGATTTTGATGAAATTTATGAGGCTCATGATCCCAAAGAGTTAAACATATAAATTTTGTAAAAAAGAATTAATTTATACCGATTCCCAAACTGCGAAATAACACTTACCAACATGTCCTTTCATTGGATAACCATGGTTTTCTGCTTCAATCATTAGATTTGTGCAAATGTCATCAGTTCTGATTGGATCAGTTCCGAACGGAAATATTTTGATGGTGCTCTTTCTTGAAGTTTTTGAACAACAAGTAAAATTTTCTCCTAGAATAAGGAAATCATTTTTAAGGTTGAATAAATCTCTCTACCTTCTATGAAACATTTTGCGCAGCTATAAGAAGCATTATGAGATACCATGTTACTGAGTAATGACTGTGCAGGCTTGTCGGTACAGGTAGCTATCAAATAAAATTTTAATGTTCTTTCACCTTCATCAGGAAGAAAAAATTTAACACCAGCTTCTAAACGTATACACTGCTCATAGATTATGTCCATAACAGTTTTAAAAAGTTTATTGCTTGGATGTTGTAATGCTGGTAAAACACCGCCAAGAATGATCGACTCAGAGTATCGACGAGTTGGTAATGGGATTTCATTTATCATTAAAGTGATTGGCCACAAAGATATATGCTTATTTTTTGTGATAACTCCATCAGCATTAAGTACCATAGTGAAAGAGTCCTCAGACTCAGAATTCAAAATATGTCCATACTTTGTTGTTTGTAGATTTTCCTTATAAATCTTTCTTTGATATTTCATTTGATTGTATAAATGTGGCATCAGTAACAGATGTTGCAGTTGTTCCGCAAGTGAATAATAGTAAAATTCAATCATTACATTGGATTTGCATTGAAAACAGCTAGAGCAATTTTTATCAGTTGTTTTATTACCACACATATTACAAATTTTGCAGCAAAACCATTTGGGTGAAACATCTAACTGTATTTTGCGCTTAACTGATTTCCAGGAAGTTGGCACTTCTGAGACATTTAATGCATTCATGAATTTACAATAAGCATTGATATCGCTATTGTTTTGTTGTCTTCGAATTTTAAAAATAATAATTGATGCAGCAATATCACTGCTAGTGACTTGTAAACGTCGTGACAAATTAAAAGTGAATTCTAAACAAGTAGGTAAATTAGGGTTAGATATTCTAAATATAAGCATTCAAAAGTAACATCAAATAAAAACTTGAATTGAATTAAATGTCTAAGAATCACTTCCAATAGGTAGATTGTTTCATTGATAGATGCCATTTTATAGAATAAATTCAGACTCTGATGTTATTCGTTTAAAAAAAGAGTCAATAGATAATCAACTATGCATTGAGATAAGTACAGATTAAAAATATTATATTATTTTACCGTTCAATATATCTGAATTCGTAGCTGCCATTATACTAGTCATACTAGCTGCTTGAATACCATCTTCTTCTGAATATTTTTTTTGTTTAAAGTTAATCAGTTGAGATGTTTCTATCAACGAGCACTATTATGAAAAAAATTATTGGTAGAAATAATTTTTATACCTTTGTTATTTTCATTCGATTCTTCAAATTGATCAACATTAGATGATTTTGATGAGAGACGATCATATACTATTTGATCCCAAGGATTCAGTCGAGTTCGATGTCTGTAGAACGTACTGCGACTCATCTTGGAAACAGAAATGTAACAATAGGGAGAAAATGTAAGTTTATAAATATGTATAAAATAAATTAGGGCACTTCTTAGTCACCTATAGAATTTAAAAGTCAATTTTTGATGTTTCTAAGTATAGATGAAGTAAGTACTGATCTTAATTAATATAAGTTTAAATATATTAAACGAAGAGTTCTAATTAAAGAAATAATCATATTTTAAGCATGCTGAGAGAAAAAAAAACAAGTGAATATAAATCAAATCATAAAGCTAGAAATCTCCATAGTGAACGCAATGGTAAATTCACCTGTAAATCAAATAATACACACAATCAAAAATATGTTTCGAATGTTAACAAAATATAACAATGAACAGGTATAACACACAATAAAAAAGTACTAGCTACTTCTTGATGTTCATAAAGTTATATAGTACTTATTGTACCAAAAATGTCTGATTTTCATCTGTGACGATGCTTTTTTAAGCGGATTAGAATATAACAGCAGCAAGTTTGTTGGCTTTCTTCTTATTGTCACTTTTCATATGATGACATTTACCGGAAATACAAGCAGAAAATTGAGAATCAGTAATAACTACCGTAGGACAAAGTGCTTTCACATAACCTAAAATGGAGAATAGAAGATCTCTTAAAAATAACTATAACATAAACTATTTTAAATAAATAGTTATATTTCTACGAATAAGAGATATATCAAAAACGTTATCTATACTAGAGTGTTTGAAAAGAAACTGTTTCATAAAGAATATTCTTACTTAAAATATTATCAATCAGTTCCTCGTGTCCATTTCGAAGCGTTGTATAATTTTCATATTGTAAATCAATATTTTTGAAACATGCTTTTAATAAGTTGACCACGATTTTTTTCCACGGTAAACGTCCATTACCAGTTGCTTCAAGTAGTTCTATATTAGAAAGACCTAGTAGCTGGCCACACTGAATAAAAAATCATAATTTAAGACAGAAATAAGCCTAAGGTACATTACTAAAAGTAACTTACATTGACTGCCCGTGATGTTGCCAATTGAGTACGCATTTCCACGACAGCCATCACTCGACGTAAATAATCAGCTTCTTGTGGTGTTGGAAATGCTACAATTAACGAAAAAATCCTGATTGATGGAATATATTAATAAAAATGATTACGAATTGACATGCGTTTCATTTCCTTTAATTGATTTTCTAATTCAAGAATCTGTTTTCTATTATTTTTCAATTCCAATGTAATGTGACGAGGTAAAAATAATTCATCATCATCATCATCAGTATTATTATCAGAAAGGATATGGCATTGCACAGGATTAGTTTCTGTTGTTAAACTTTTTGGATCTTTCGATTGCATAGCTTGAGATTGACGATCAAATGCCGACATATTATTATTGGTTGAATCATTGTTTGATAGATCAACGAGATCAGAAGCTTCTGCATTTGATGTAGACAATTCATTATCATCATTTGACCTAATTTTATTTGATTTTTGGTTCTTTTTTCCACACGCATGTGCTTGTTTATTCTTGAAAGGTTTCTCTTTTTCAGATGATCTTTTCATAGTTGCTTTTGATGGATTTGTCTTCGATTGTTTTTGATTGATAGTGTTTTTCTTTGATTCAGTTGTTGAATGCTTAGATACATCTCCAATAATATTGGATTCCAATGTAGAATTAGATAACCATGAGGATTTATCTACTGTTAAACAGCTATCACCTTCACAATATTCTTCGCATTCTTCTAATGTTCCTATGAAAAAAAAATAACAAGAAAAAGATATTGCAGTAATTGTCAAAATAAATCTCGATTAGTTTTACCTTTGAATAACAGTTTTCCACGAAGACGACGTTGACGATCACTTCTGTGAACGAACAAGTAATCACCATTCAATTTTACTTTCACGTTTTTTGATGATTGGAGACAACTTTCAGAAACTAAACACACTGAATTTACGCCATCCCCATCAAATTTCACGATACAAATCGAAGCCATTATTTACTATCAAGATATAATAAATTTATCAATTGAAGTATATTAATTGATTGCAAAGTTTTCCCTTTATGTGATATTCGAATTGTCTGGAACACTTGCATCTATCCTTCTTTATATATATATGCGTTAACCTATAACGATCAAATTTGAAACTCAACGAACACGCCTAAACATAATTGCTTGTATAACGAATCATACCATGTTATGTATTGAAAAATTTAAAGAACAAAGAAATGTGTCAATTCTTATTAACGAACACGACGAATGTGTAACGAAATACAAGAAACAAATAAAGATTGGTGAATTTGATAAAACATCGAAAGACTATATTATAATGAAATTTCTCATAATTAAAAAAATGACTCGTGATCTTGCCTTTTTCAAAAGTTCAGTTTTACAATAAATTATTTTTGATATTCTTCTCGCCATATAGCTTATTACAAAATTTTATTTGAGAACAAAACCCGCATAAGCTATAGTTTAGGATGCATATTAGCATGTTTCATTTTTAGTCGCACCTATTTGAGTGAAGATATTAAAGAAGTTTTGGAATACTAATATGATTTGTATGACATGTAAAAACAGTAGAAATACAATTTTATTTTATACAGTGATTATTTTTCAGTGAACAATGAAAAATTAAACTAATTTTGAAAGCCTAATACTTTTGAAACTTTTTCAGCAGATTGTTTATTAAAAATATCTCTTATTGTAAAGTAACACATCTTTATTACAGTTGAACTTATTAATTATCAATCTTTATCCGATTAGATTAAATGATTATCAGTCAGAAATCAAAATGATGGCAATATGACATACAAAGATAAAAGTAAAGAATTATAAAAAATTGAACTTTCGAGGCGTTTCGAGCCATCGAAATTGAATCAAATCATCGGAAGTATATTACCGATGGGCACGTCGTTTCCGTGAGCGCTAATTTCGATAGGTGGAGACTCATCGATGTTTAACAGAGTAATCGATATTACATTTTCGATGGGTTTTTTTTTCGAGTCCTCCGAATTTCGACGAACTTCGGGCCGTCGAAAAGAGCTCGATTGGTCGAACATAGGTGTTCGATAGGTCATTGTCTCCGAGGGCTCGATCGCCGATAGGCACCGATCGGATCGAAATTAAAACAGAACGGAAAAAATATTATAATTTCACATTTCGACCACTCGCCGTAGCCATCGTAGGCTTTTTAATGTCTGCTTGGGTATTGAAAAAAATCACTTGTATAGCCTTCAGGAAAATGTGTGACAATTTTGAACCATAATAGCTAGACAGGTCGACCTTTCGCCATTTTGCAGAGGATCCTCTAGGCTATCTTTTACATATTTAAAACCGATCAGTCACTATAAGATTTAAGGTAACCACGTTCACATCTTTCAAATATCGGCAATGAATATTACCTGAACAGTCGACGTTTTTCATCTTCTATTAGTGGATCGATAGAGTAGTTCAAGCTCTACGCAACGGTGAAAACCGCAGGTGTATATCTCTTTTTGTTCTCGAATTATTCAACAAATAGTCACACGCACGGACTTTTTGGATGTACTATACTTATCTGTCATTTAGTAAACAGTAGTTCAAATAGTATAAATCTAATAGTGACATGTTATTTAGACTCCGAAAATTATAGGTTTTAGCATTCGATTCACTATTGGGTACTCAGCCTAGTTGGCTATAGTCTTGCCTGATATATGTTTAGTGTTACTGAAATTCTTTGAAACGGCGCGTAAAAGAGGCATCAATTAAGATTCATCCTTTTTATGTCGATTCAAAACACCTCAAAATCTTTATCTTTCATGAGAAAAAGAAGTAAAACAAAATTTTTGAAGTAGTGAATCGATAAAATGTCCATCTCAATCAGCATGTATATTTTCTCAGGCAGATTGCTAATAGGTTTAGTTTTCGAAATGATTAGTACAAAGTTTAGAATCGTTCTGAGATATTGCATATACTTCCGTTCAGAAGCAGTCTCAATAGAATATGGACTTTGCAGAATTCCTAACGCAGTTTTAATTTAAATGACTTAGCAATACTCAAGCTTTAATCACAGAATCAAGAAATATTTATGGCTCTGGATAAAAGTGAGCATTTATGAAGAGAAACTAACGGGTGAGTCAGATTAAATGGCCCTCTCAGTATTTTTACTATAACTTTTTTTCTTTTTGTTCTTTAGAGCTAATTGTTTTTTCAAAAGGTGCGCCGTGAAATTCTCTGTAAAATCATAATCAAACTTATTTGTGTAGAAAGTTAAGGAAAAACGTTAAACAAAGATTATCCGACACATTAAAAGTATCCCACTTTCAAAGCTAACCGGTGTTTGTATCTATTTTTTTTATCGTTAAGTACGTCTATTTTAAAAACAAAGCATATCATAAGACGCAGCGTAAAAAGTTCTATAAGGTACATTGAAAACCTTATTTTATACATACACTCTTTGTTCTCAAAATGGACAAAATTCTGTCCGACCAATTTTCGACGCTGCGAACAAGATCAGTTTTTGCTACACTAGGAATTCATTTTTTCTTATTTCATCTTTTTATCGCCTAATATGTTGTATTAAAAGAAAAGAAAATATACTACAAGATGGAGCGTGAAAAGTTCTACAATCTACAACGAACAGTTTATTTTATATATATGCATCTTTTGTTTTTATAATAAGCAAAGCTCTGTGCGACCAAAAATGATCTTGTTCGCAGCGTCGAAAATTAGTCGCATAGAATTTTGTCCATTTTGAAAATAAAGAGTGCTTGCATAAAAAACTTGTAGAGTTTTTCACGTTGCACCTTATGATATACTTTACTTTTAAAATAATGTGCTTGGCGATAGAAAAAAGAGACACAAACATCGGACACTTATGAGACATCCGTCAGCTTTGAAAGTTGGGTACTTTTAATGTGTCGGATAATTCTTGTTTAATTTTTGTCTTGAACTTTCTACATAAATAAGTTTTGTTATGATTTTACAGAGAACTTCACGGCGCATCTTTTGAAAAAACAATTAGCTCTAAAGAACAAAAAGGAAAAAAAGTTATAGTCAAAATACTGGGAGAGCCATTTAATCTGACTCACCCGTTATCTATATTAAAAAGGATTTTTAAAGTCTTATTAACTTTAAATCTAATCAAATAAAATTTTTCTATTCAAATTTTTATAAAGTTAGAAAAAATAGCATTATTTAAATTTGATAATTTTTGCAGATAAATCGAGTTCACAATTATCAATGATACATTATCAGTCATTCGATTTTAAATAAACGAGAAAAAAAAAATTCCCACTTGAATTTTGCATTTTTCATATCTTACATATATTCTTGTCGTTTCGTTTTTTTTTTTTTCTTTTACAGTTAGTTTCAAATTAATAACAACTGGATTTCATTGCCTAAAAATTGTGTATATACTATTTGTAATTTAATTTAGATTATTGTTAACTTTAAACTGATCTGAATTAAATGACAACATGAAATATATGTGAACCAATAGAAATAATATTTTATGTCTTTAAAACTAGTACATAATATATCTAAATACGATAACAAGAAAAAATAAAACAAATTTTTATTTTATTATTCTTAATAAGATAAACAATCGGTAAAATGTCGTATATACAATTGTTTAATTTCTTAATTATATTTGGATTAATAAGTTATTCATATGAATTTAATATACGAATTGATCATCTAGAACGTTATATCCGAAATGCTCCATTTAAAAATGATACACAAAGTCTATTAAATCAAATTTTTAATGATGAACAACAATTAGAAAATACAATTCGAGAATCTATTCGAAAAAATGATGATATCATTAAAGTTCTAACTCGAAATATAATGTTAGCTGCTGATCGAATGGCAGAAGCTGGTTCGAAAGATACGAAAAATATTGCAGAATGGACTTATATTCAAGGTGAACTTCGCCAAGGTATTAATTTAATAATTGAAGCCTATCGAAAATATATTGATTTACATCGACAAGTATGCGAAACAATTGAACTTTTTGCAAAAAATATGATTAAGAAATATGAAGCGGAACTTTCTGATATTGATCAAATGTCAGTACCAGATTCTTCAAATGGTAGTATTGATACAAGTAGTCAGGAATGGAATAAATTCGTAGCGAAATTTTTACATATGCTTAATTATGCAAGAGTTCATCAAGAAACTCTTCGAACTGCTACTGATTGTACTGCAGATTTAATGGCACGTACATTATCTCATCAATCAGTTATTATGAATCAACCAGTAGGAGCTTCTCGTACGATTAAAGTTCAAATAATTCATCCGAATAATCTTCAATATCCTGTTCAAACTTTTTCTCTTCCTTGTAATGATATTAGTGAAGATAATGGTTATCAAATATGTTCAAATGCTATTGCTGATGCTACGCAAACATATGCTAGTTCAATTCTTGAATGAATTTGATAAAATTATTATTAATTTATAAATGAATATATATAAAAGAAAATTTATTAAATATTTAAAATTATATTCATCTGTTTTTCAACTTATTATTTTAAAAGAAAATGTTTGAAAAAAAAATTTTGAAATATTATTTAATTAATAAAAAAAAAAAAGAAAAGTTAGATTAAATAACACTAGAAATCTTTTCATTATAATTATTCGATAATATCACATTGTACTAGGAAATTTTCTTTTATTTAATGATTAATTGAAGAAATCTTTCCAAAAATATTTAGATAACGAAATATTTTACTTTAAATTTATATAATCTTAATTATTTTTATTGCAAAAAAATAAATAAATAACAAATAAGAAATTAATCCGTAGCTGTTACTTCAGATACCATTGTCCACCATCCTGGAAATAACTGATCAGTAACAAAATCAAATTTAATATATCGAACTAGACTTGTATTACTATTAGTAATAAATAAACGTTGAGCATCTAACATGCGTTCACCTATTTGCATCTGTCCATGTTCACTAAATAAAATCCATGTTATACCATCTAAACTTGTACTAACTACTACTAATCTCGGTGGGCTTATAGCCCAATCAGGTTTAATTAATGTCCAAACAGATGTTTCACGAATATTTCGATTCATTAATAAATCAATTGTAATAGTATGTGATTCACTTTTTAGCCATCCTGTAATTGGTCCCATCATACCAGCTATAACTCCATCAGTAAGACGAACACCATCATCAAAATAAGTACCGTCACTGGATGATATTATTTTTGAAGTTGATGGTGTAAGAAAATAATAATTAATTAAATTTGAAATTTCACGTCCATTAACAAAAGCTTGTATTTCATCAATCATAAGCCAAGCATTTGATTGAAATTCAAGTGTTGCCCAACGAAGAGAATTCGAAAATGTAAATGATAATATACCACCTTGATTCATATCCGTACCACCAGTTATAATACGATCTGTACATGGATAACTTTTTACAGTACAATCAGATGAACTATATGCTGAGAATGGTACACAATCAGTACTGATAAGTAGACGAACAATATTAGGCCAATTAACACCTTCATATGAACCACCATGTGAACGAACTAAAATTTGATCTACATGTATTATATTACCAAAATCAAGCGCGATACGTATGTATGAATGAGAATAGGAATTATCTAACCAACCGATAGACATTGTTGATTGCCATTCATCATTTGACCATTGTCTATCAGTAAGTAAACCACGATTAAAATTTGAGAATGTTTCATTTATTGTATCACCATATTGAGGATTATAAGAAAACATTGAAGGTGATATATGATATGGAGCACCTGTACTTACTTGAAGTGCAATACCATTTGGTATTTGTTCAATAATAAGATCTTCATCAGTAAGTAAAGGCAAAAAAATTGAACTTATAAATAAAACTCGAAGTGATAGAATTTTTTGTGATGGTAATAATGAAAATGGTAATAATGTACTTGTCCAATCTTCATCACGCCAATTTTTTTCACCTATTTCAGTGCTACTCAACAATTTCCATGTATAATTATTATCCATTGTAATAAATCCTTCTACTGTAACTCGACCAAACCAATATTTATGTTTTAATGACCAATTAATTCGAATACTTTGTGGTATAATATTTGATGATATATTGATTGTTGCTTGAAGATTTTGATTCGTTGTCCAAAACCATTTCGTATTCGAAACAAATGTTGGTTCAATTCGAAGACCAGATGTATAATTTCGAATAAGATCACATGCTTTTTTCGATCGAGCTATACTATCATAATTACCAAGAAAATAAGCAGTCGGTACATTTTGATAACCATCAATAAAACCTTGTGATAAATAATTTTGTAAAAGTGCTATTTCATATTCTGTACTAGCTCCTTGATTTGTTTCGATTTCAACACCTAAACCATATTTTTGAGCAAGTTTAGCAGTTGTACGTAATCGACCAGAATTAAATGTTCCTTGCATTAATGGAGATGAAAATGCATAACCAGGTTGTATAATAGCAATATCAATACCTAATTTTGTCCAATTATTCCAATTAATTGCACTTGTATATGGAATCCAAAGTAAACGTAATTGTTTAGTATGAACAATTTGACTTATTTCTAATGTTATTTGTTCATTTATACCAAAAATAATATCTTCACGCATAAGATAAATACCCCATAAATATAACATTGAATATTGTTTAATTTGTTCTTTGACAGTATCAATATACCATTGAATAACTTGTTGACGATGACTTTGAATAGATAAATTTAATGTTGATGAAAAATTTTCTTGTCCAATTGGATCTATATATGGTAACATAATAATAATTTGTAATTTTTGATTTTTAATATTTAATTGATTTAAAGCTTGAGTTAGATTTGATAGAATACCATATGAACCAAAAAGTTTTATTTCAAGAAACCATATCCAATCTTGTTCATTTGTTGAATATGCTGTTAAAGAATTTGATGGTGTTCTTTCAGCAAGAATTGTTATTGTATCAAAAATAACATGATGAGAATCAATTGATTCATATGAACCTGTAAGCCATAACATTAATTTTTCAGGTGAATGAATTCCATCAATATAGAGTAATGCATTATGATGAAAACCGGCTTGAGTAATCGTTGGATAGCCTAAATCTATTCCATTTACTGAATTGTCATAGAATATTACTATGATGATAAAAAGTGTACTAATAAAATACATCATGATAGTCAAATATCTTGATATCTTCAGTTTTTGATTGTTATCAAATCGACCTTTTTTAAAATTAATTATTTTGATAATAAGAGAATCATATTTCATTTGCACCTGCATTTTTCTCTATTTTATCATAGAAAGAAATATGATACAAAGGTTATCAGCTTGATCGCGTAATGCTTCATTAATATGAAAAGAGTCTGAAATGATTCTGCTTGTTTTTTTTTCAAGTATATATATCATGACCATTTTGTAGAATATAGTTTAAAGTGTATGATTAAAATACGCTTGGTTTTATTTATTCACAAATCTCAAATAAAAATAGTGGATTTAGAATATCATCGAATTATATTCATTCAAGCCATCATATAATATTTTCTTCTTTTCTAGTATAATTTTAATTCATTGAAATGAATATTTTCATTAACTATGATCCTTACTCTACCAGGGAAAACTCCTATCGATACATTACCCTGAGCACTTTTTAGCTTACACGCTCTTAATTGTATCCTAGTTGCAAGTTAGAGTCCTGCAGGGTACATAGTTCTTGATATTTTTCTTGTTTAGAAGACGTCAGTCGTTATATTAAAGCGAAATTTAGTTTTGTTAAAGAAGAATCAGTAGTATTGAACTATTCACAACTTAATATATTGGAAAAAGATTACTGTATGAAAATCTTTATGATAGTTATTCATATACAGCTGAACAATTGTATATTTTTCGAGACGGTTGACTATAGTCAATTTGAAAAAATCGGGAAGCAAAACAAAGAGTTTTGTTTTATTAGAGTTATTGTTGTTGTTTGTTAAATTAATTTTCTAAAATGTTAATGGATTTCGAATCAATGTGCCGATGTTTAAATATTACTATTTTTACAAAACAAATATTTTAAATCGAGAATACATCCTATTCCGCAATGTTGAACATTGCGGAATCAGTTCCGGGGTGGAACTGATTCCGTCCAATTCCGGGAGCTCGATTATGATTCTACAGAACAGATCCCATCGATATCGATCGAATTCCTTCTGATTCCGGAATTTCTTCCAATTCCGACTAACTCCTTCTCCAGTCAATTCCCGGAATTTCGCAGCGGAATTATATCTCGCCCCCACCCACACACATAGTGCTGTGGCTGATGATTTATCCTTATGATAAGTTGGTAATTCCGGGAATTGAGTCGAGACGGAATTGCTGGGTATTGGAAGGAATTTCTTGTAATTCGGGAATTCCTTCCAATTCCTACTATTTCCGTCTCCACCCAATTCCCGGAATTCGTGGAGCTCGATTGATATGGAATAGATCTCTTTTGCTGAATGATGACGGAGTTCCCGGAATTGGGTGGTACTGATTCCGCAATGTTCAACGCCGCGAAATAGGATGACTGCTCTTTAAATCTTATTTTTATTGTTTTACATAATGGCGACGTCATAGGTGAGATGAATATCCCTTCGAAAATTTGTTTAAAACTTTTGCTAAGAAATGATTATCTTTCATGAAATGATGCTGCTGAATTATAGAGGTTTATTCTAGTTTCCTATCAGTAGTTTATTAAACATCATGTCAAAAACTTCAAACTACTGCTTACTGAAATTAGAGACTCTGCATTAGACTCAAAAATCCGACTCCGACGGAGACGAAATCAACGTTACAAAAACAAAATATTCCGTAGACGAATTGAAAATCGCTCAAAGAATATTCTTTCAAATCGGAATTTTAGTAATTGAAAAGAATTTTTTCGTTCGGCAACGTCGAAGTTACTCCTCTAGTAAAACACATAAGCTTTTTTTACTCTTATATGGTAACAATTCTATTGTTTAAATATTAAAAAACGAACATAAAATACAAAAATGATTCGACTGTACAGTTTCACCAGCGAAAACTAATAGTAACGAAATATTCATATAAACAAAGAGAATGCAACACATAAATACAATCATTTGGGAATCACATAGAGAATATTAATGGACTTGGAATTGAAAATGATATCTTTTTCTTTCGTCTAATCAGTTGTATTTCTATAAACATCAAAAATAATTACAAGTGCTATAAGAGTGCTAGTTTAACAAGTAACTTGTGAAAAAAAACTCTTAAAGATGACTTTTCAATTAATTAAAGGAATAGAATTTTTTACTTAGAATAAGTAGCACTCTTGATGAGCTCAAGAATTCAAAAAAAAAGAATTCACTATGTTTGGCTTTTGAAAACTTAAGAGAGAACTTAGTTCATCCCTATTTCCTTTACAATTCTAAAATTTTACATAACTTATTGCACATACCGAACTTACAATTGAATAATCTATGAAATCACGAATATATATATGTATACTTTTAATCTTCGATAAGAAAAAGCATTCAGAATATACGATGAACAGAAAGTGAATAGAAAAACGATTATGAATTATAGATGATTACATTAGTTTCAAAAAATGACAAAGTTAAACATCATTTAAATCTATTCCTATGACGATATTCCTTGAATTTTTGTTTTAGAAAAAGTATCATTGATCTAACTGAGTGTTTCACATACATTTATTGATAATAAGAAAGAATTTTTTTTTTCGTGAGTTCTAAAATTAGTTCAATGTGAAATCTTACTAAAAATTTATTTGAAATATTTTGAAAAAAAAATCAAACATTTTGCATAATAATCAATAGACATCTGTTTTTTATTAATAATATTTCAGCAAAAATTTCTATTTCAAACGTTAATGAATAACATATTCAATGTTTTGTATATTTCAAATAGAAATAAAAACCATATTTTATTCTCGAATTTTCTTAATTTAATTTCAATCATTGAATGTCTTATATCTGGAAAAAACAATCATATTGTAATAAAGAAATAACATCTGGTAAATATTTGAAAATATTTTATTTATTAAAATAAGAATATTCTCAACAAGAAAAAGCCTTCAACATTGTCAAGTATATAAACAGAATCAAATCTACAATTTTTCACATCATTCACAATCACCATGCATTGTTTCGTATCAACTATTTCGATCATTGTTTTATTGGGTTTGGTTATTCAAGGTTTTGGTAAGTTAATATCATATGAAATATTTACAACAATAAAACATTTATTTCTATATAAATAGATGCATGGAAACATCAATCATCATCAAATAATGGTCAACAACGAATGGAAAAACGTCTCTACAAACGACAAATATCTCCACTAATTCCAGCTTATGCAACCAATAGTCTACCAGTATGTGATTATGCTGTATTACGTACTTGTGATGCTGCTGCTAATACGATAACTCAAAGTGGTGTACAACTTCAACAAACAATGACTGCTGTTCAACAACGTAAATTATATGTTGGTAATAGTGTTTCTTTATCGGCACTTCAAAATGGTGGCATGTGTATTCCAAATACAAATTTATTAACAGCCAATGCATACTCAGCTATTGATTTAGGCCATATAACACTTCCACAACTCGCAACAGTTAATCTATTTCCTGTACAATCAATTGATACAAATACTTTATTTAGTGCCGGTTATATAAATACATTTGGTCAAACAAATTTACTTACGGCATTAGGTATGCAAGCCAGTATTTTTGGTCATATTTTACCATCACAACTTCTATCATTGAGTTTATATCCATTACAAACAACAACACTTTCATTAGATGTACTTGTTCAAGCTAATTATTTAACAAATGATTGTATACCAACAGCTCTCGGTATTTCAGCATTACATATTCGTTATTTAGCACTTAATAATTTTGCTTCACTTGGTTGTCAATTAACTGATTATTCACAAGTATCTCTTACACAATTATCCGATGCTAAATATGTATATGGTGCATCAAATATTTTAACACCAGTTGGTTTAGCTGCTCTTCGAACAGGCGTTTTTTCACGGGAAATTTATCAAAAAATTGGTGTTTTCCCATTTGGTATTGGTGTTCAAAGTCAATCTACTGAATATGTTTATCAAGAACAACAACAAACACAAACAACAACTGTTATTAGTGATCTTGTTCATGTTGGTTATTTACAATCAAATAGTTATTTATTAACTAGTTCTGCTTATTATGCTATAACACGAGGCTATTTTACAATTGAAAACTTCCGTGATTTAAATATATGGCCATTTAGTGGCACACCATCAATGAATATGTTTGTTTCGGCTGGTTATGCAACATATAGTGGTCATTTAACACAACTTGGTTATTCATTATTACATGCTCAATATTTTCCAGCTGAATGGCTTCCAAGACTTGGTATTCATGTACATGATGATTTTCGTATATTTCATCAAGCTTTACGTTTTGGTGGTTACTTTCGATCGGATTATAATATTGCTCATAGTTCAATTCATAGTACAGCTGTTAGTACAAATGTTGAAACTGCACAAGTAAGATTTTGATGAACATGTTTAAAATTATAAGAATTCTTATATGTTTAGATTGGTGCATATCGATCAGCAGCTAGTGTAGGTGTTGCAAGTTCTCTTGATAATTCAAATGTTGTCTATGCTCATAAATAAGCATATTTAATTATATTCAGTATTATATTTTACACATCAACAATGTGTGTTCCTTTTTTTTTCTTTTTGACTAATAAAATGATGGGATAGTTAACAATAAAAGAAAAGAATTTATTCATTTCTTATTACAAACTGATGGCATATAATCAACAAAATAGCTTTGAGGAAATCTTAGCTGAATTTAAAAATATTTTATAAGGTTTATCAAAATATATGGGCGGGAACGTATAGCAAATATTTTGGTGAATGGAGTGAGAAGGGCGATAGAATCAAATTTTTTTTGTGTCCATCTTCAATTGCACTTTTATTGTACAAAACATGTTTTATGATCATGATCGTCTCCCATCTCCATTGAATTACAGGTCATCCTGAAAATTCTAGATCCATTACTGTGATGAATATCTCGGAATTTGTTGTTATTCATCTTTGTCATATTTGATTATTACATTGTACAATTAGGAAATCAAACAACAAATGAAATTAAAGGATAAACAAAAAGATATTAA